TCCTTTTCTTATTGGAGGTCACATTTAGCTCCCAGGGTTCCTATTGGATCCTTGTATATAGACCCCATGTCAGGACCAGCAAACCATTCGAATCATTCTTACCCTAGGTGTCTATCTTCCCTTACCACCCACTTGGCTAAAAACAGGTCTGTATTTCTGTAGACTGGCCTCAACAAGATGACTCAGAGATCTGCTATGTCAACCACTTCGTCTAGCCTTCATGACACCTATCGAACACCCCTCCCCCATTTTTGGAAGTCTTGGAGATTGAACTCTGGGCCTCACAGGAGATAGGCAAGGGCTCTACTACTTGAAATGTGTCACTGGTGCTTTTGTTTTGTTTGCTTCTTTGTTTTTCAGACAAGGCTTCTAACTTTTCCCAGGCTGACCTCTAATTCACAATCCTTCTGAGCCCACCTCCTGAGCAGCTGGGATTATAGGCCATGCCTCACTATTGGGCTTGCCACATCCCTTTTGTCACGCAACAGAGCCAATGCATAGGTCCCAGGCTTCAGGCTGGACATGTCATGAGTCACTATTCTGTCCATCACACTTTACAAGAGATTTCCTCTCCCTCTGAAAATGGACAGCAACTCTGAAGGTCGTTCACCCATTCTCTCCGGTGAGAACTCACCAGATGTGGGAATTGGGTACGCTGGGGGCCCAACCCGGAAATGACAAGGCTATAGAGAGGAAGGATGAAGAGGACTTCTGTTGAGCTCTGCCGTTGCATAAATCCTACCTGAGTCCTCACCAAAGTTCAAAGGCCACCCATGACACAGGTGAGAAAACTGGAGGTCCAGGGTTCAATGAATGGCCCACCACTGTTAGAGTGGGTAACTAGGTAGACAGGAGCAGGGACAGAAAGATACCCTGAGCTACAAGATTCCATTCTACACCCTCAGATAGCTACCTACCGGACCAACAGTTACGACAGTGGCCCTCTATGTCACATCCCTGTGGAGCCCATATCAAGGTTGTACTTGTACCTTGCTGGCATGATGACCTCTATATGACCTTCCAATGGCCTTGCTAAATGAGGAAGCTGAGAGAGGGTCACATCCTCAGATGCCTGTCCTCATCCTCTCAAAAGCACAGGTGGATGACTTTCTCCACCAGGACACCGGTGCTGCTCAGATATCAAATCATCAGGGCAGTACCTCGGCTTCTTACTACCTAACCATCTCTCCTGATGGAATAGTAAAACCATAAGCCCTGAAAGCTTGGAAACTGTCTGCTCCAAATTTCTTTTCAGGGACTTACTGTCACTTCTGATAAAAGCCTCTGTCTTTTCACACGAAAGGACTTTAACTCTACCCTACCTTCCTTTGCTTGTTTATTCTAACATCAGACACTGAATCAATTCTCTAATTGTACATATCATTCCCAGAGAATCAAGAAACATGGGGTCGCCCATCCACTAGGAACAGCTCATCTGACTTCTGTAACTGTTAAGGAACATCCCTTTATTCCTTCTGGCTCCCTAGCCCACGACTCGAAGGCCATGTTCAGAAGTATACACAGTTGTATATACACAAGTAGGATCATTGTTCCTTTCCTTTAGAAAGGAGGCTGCTCAGGGATGAAGCCCTATGACTTACTCCAGCCCGGGGGGCAGGTTCTGGGGTGGCTGGAGGGGACATCTGGTGGCCTCTGGCCCCTAGTTTGGGTGTGCAGAGTTCTGCAGAACCCAGGAGGAGATGGTGGGACTGCGAAAGCTGCAGCCCAGCAGTCAGCCTGGGCCAAATTTACATGCACTTGGCGTCCAGGTGCACTCCTTCCTCTTTTTGGCGACTGGTATATTTTTAGTGTATCCTGCAAAAGGCAGTGAGTTGTAGGCATTCGTTTTCAGACTTTGGCCTTTTAAGAGTTGGGGACAGATTAGGTGCTTCCACATCTAAACAAAGAGTTCTGGGATCTGAGAGATTTCATCGAATGGTGCCGACAGTCGCACCTTAGCAATTGCAATGTGCCTGACTCTGTGCTTTCCTGTAGGTCAGTTTATCTGCACACATGTCCCACATACATGTTGAGACCTGTCAGATAACTTGGACCCGGAGCCAGGAAAATGCAGGTCAGTCTTCCATAGAGAGGCAGAAGGCTGACCTCAGTTTCAGGACAAAGCAGAGAGTCACAAGAAGGGTCTGGCCAGGATGAGGGGAAAGTAAGAAGGGAAAGGGCGGGACTATGATTTGAGAATGTGAGCATGCTCATCAATTACACAGCAAGCCGTCACAAAGTGGATGGAATGCGCAAGAGAAGGCATCCCTTGGAATTGCAAAAGTCACAGAAGGAGAAACAGAAATTAAATCATTACCCAACTTCTGTGGCACAGGAAGTGGGTGGCACACAAGAGTTAGGACCTCACTTCCGAGTACAGCACTGACAGATCGCAAGTCAAGGGTGACTAACTTCTCAGAGTGATGAGGTAACTCGGTACTAGCCTACTAGGCCACGAGTCATCTAAAGGCTAGACTAGGCCACTTCTGGAGAATGGGGTTAGGGCTTACTAGGAGGCCCAGGAAGTATTTCCAATGCATTTAAAATAAGAGCACTCTTAGATCTGTTTAGTCTCAGAAATTTGGGGATAGGAATCTATGCTTTTTTGTTGTATATACCAGTCCTGAGGCTTGAACTCAGGATCCTCAGCTTTTTTTTTTTAATTTAATTTTTAGTTGTAAGATGCGGTACAGGGGTTATAATCACACAAGTCAGGTAAAGAGCCCATTTTGTTTTGTACACTGTTACACCTTCCCTCGCTCTCTCCCACATTTTCCCTCCCATTCCCACTCCCATTCCCTCCCATTCCCAGAGCTTTTTTTGGCTCAAGCCACAGCTCCACTTCTGGCTTTTTGGTGCTTAATTGGAGACGAGAGTCTTGTAGGCTTTCCTGCCTGGGCTGGCTTCAAACTATGCTTCTCAGATCGTAGCCTCCCTGAGTAACTAGGATTACAGGCGTGAGCCACCTGCACCTGGCAGGGAACCTATGCTTTGAAGGGGCCGCTTGCGTGACTGAGCCCTCAGCCCAGTCCTGGAGCCATCACAGGCCTCTGGCCTTGGGAGGGTCAAAAGGGCACTCAGGGAGAGGAGATGTCCAGCATGCCTTGGAAAGGACGGCTTGCCTCATTGTCCATCCTGTTCTCCAGAGTGCTTCCGGCACGCGTTCACTTCCAGCTCGTGTCGACACTTCCTTGTTGAGTCAGGCTTTGCTGAATTCAAAGGACACCCTGCTTCCCCATGTGGGGAGAGGCCCCCGTTTGTTTATCTTTGACCTGGACATGACCCTGACCTTGGTACAGGGTGTCCTGTGCTTTACCTGATTTTTTCAGAAGGAGAGGAAAGCTTACAGCACCTTTCTGGCTGCCTGTCCAGCCCCCGTGGGGACAGGTTTGGTGCCTGGCTTCAGGGGGGTCTCTGGGGCACCTAGACCGGCTACAGGAGTGGTCAGAAGGTCACTGGGGGCGGGGCATGCACTGCCTGCTCCAGTCCCAGTGGAGAATCGGGTCTTGTCGGGCTCAGTGCCTCTCTACTGTATATTCTCCTCAGCTTCCTGAGGAAGTTTGTTCCAGGGCAAGGCTCTGAGCGCCTGGGCTCCCCTGTCTTTCCCTGTCTCCTTGACATCGTAGGTGCTCCAAATCCACTCTTCAAGGTGAGGGTTTTGTGAGCAGTGCTTTCCTGTTTCCTGTTTCCATGCATCAGCAGCCCCCGTGGGCAGGGCACATCTGCCCAGCAAGCACTTTCACTTAACCGGATGTAAATATAAGATGTTTTCTAGCTTAGGTTGTCAAGTTGGAGAACAAAATAGCAGGTGCCATCCAGCAGTGTTTCATAACATACCAGAAGCGCAGGGTACATACAAGCAGGGGTCACAACCTAACCAGCAAAGCCCACACCTCATTCAGTCATGAGACAGGAGAGGGGCAATCTGTTCTCAAGCCAGTGCTAGGGACACTGGGCTTTGAAGTTGGACTGAAGTGGGTGTTTCATGACCAGGAAGAGACTGATCTAGTCACACCTGAGCTTTGGTGCCAGGGCAAGATATACAACTGGACAAGCAGGTGGTGTACTCGCTTCCTGTGGCTGCTATAACAAAGGATGGCAAACTTAGAGGCTTAACACAACCCAGACCTATGGCCAGATAGGTGGAGGCATCTTTTCTCTGGAGAAGCCTCCTTCTGCTAGAGACCTGAGTTGGACGCCATCCTCTCCGCCCTGCTATGGGGATCCAAGCACAGCAGGAGCCTTTCCAAGCTCTGCTCTGGGCTTGGACTGAACTCAAGCAACATGATGAGTGTGAACACATTTTATGATGTGCCACGAAAATGACAGAGACTGCTAACGAATTCTGCCTGCTTTTATTTTGGGGAGTGTGTGTGTGTGTGTGTGTGTGTGTGTGTGTGTGTAAGAAGAGAGGGAAGGAGGAAGAAGAGACAGAAAGGGGTCAAAGAAGGGGAAGGGAAGAGTGAGAATTTTAAACAGGTTTGCTCTTACAGGTGTGTTCCCTAGGAAGGTAAATGTAAGGGAGAAAATCGTCTGTTGGTCTAGCTGCCCAAATCAAACAAAAGCTGGAGTCAATCTCTCTCCTGGTCCCACTCCTTTCCATGTACAAGCAGGTCTCTCAATTCTCCTGGCAGAGTCCTGGGGTCTACTGTCCCCCATTGCCACCCTCACAGAGCTCATGTCTGTTAGACTGCTGTCTTGTATGCTGGACGCTCGCTGTGTGGGACTGTGTCTCATCCCTCAGGTGGGGCTGTGTCTCTCTGGGGCCTGTCCTTGATGGAGCCTTACTTTTTGTGTGACTGTCTTTCTTTTGCCCGACTCTCTCTGCACAGGGACAGGGTCCTGGCTTCCCCAGCACTCAGCGTGGGCTGATACACGCCAATGCTCTGTCAATATTTCTTGTCCAGAGCAGTTGTCTGGGAGTCAAACGCAAGAAGGTTGATACTATGACCCAGCTCACCCAGGACTTGCTTTGGATTCATAACTCGCGGCTGCTTCACTGCATATTGAGACTTTATTGCGATCAAGCGGTATGGTACAGAATGAGGTCACCACCATGGGGAGGGGCTGGCCGGGCAGCTGGGCGGCTCAGAGCTGGTCACTTGCTGTAGCTCTTGGGGCCTGGCTCCAGGGAGTCCAGAGGGTCTTCTGTAAGCTCAGACCCCACCACCAAGCCCTCTTCTTCACCACCAGCTGACTGTGTATCCTTGGTTCCATCTGAAACAGAAGGGGCAAGGTGGTGTGTTCTCTGCAGCCCTGTCCCTTCAGCCCAAAGAGACCACACACACACACACACACACACACACACACACACACACACACACCACACACACACACACACACACACCACACACACACCACACACACACACACACACCCCACACATACACACACACACACACACACACACACACACACACTCCTGATGCTTGGACACCAGATTTGTCTCTGAGCTACAGGAACAGAACAAGCTAAGGGTACAACAATACTAAGCCAGAAGCAGAGATGAGAATGGAAACCACGTGCTGAACACGCTCCCTTTTCTATGTTACCGCATTCCCACCCCTCCCAGCTGCACAACTGTCACTGTGACCCACCCCCTGTCCCCCACCTGAGGGTCCCTTCCTAGATGCTCTAGGGAGAAGTCAGGCCTCTTTGGGAGGAGGAATGGCCTGGTCTCAAACTTCTACCAATGCAACAGGAAAGCTGATGACAGTTACTGGTCTATGTCACTTGCTTCCTGTCCCTTCTAGAAGCTTCTTAAGGATATGTTTATTTCTGTATTCCTGACATCTTCCTTAGGATCCATTTTTCTCTTTTATTACTATAAACAGGAAGACGAACCCACTTTATCCTGGCTAGAATCATAGCTCTAAGATTTTTCTCTCCCTCCTAGCAAGGGTGCTGGGAGGAGTTTCAAGAAGCTGCCATTTTTCCCTGTACCTGCATTCCCTGTTAGAATCTGGCTCACCCCTCATTCCCCCTCCCCATGCCCTTTCACCCCTCACCCTCTGGGGACTGCTTCACATCACAAGAGGGGCCCTTCACATTCACAAAGGAGCCCCACACTGAGCAGCTCCTGGTGAGGAGCAGAGTCCCCAGTGCCCAGGGACCTAGTGAACCCAAAGGCGGAGTTTATCAGGACACAGCCACAACCAGCCTCCCAGCCCTGGAACCGAGTGTCGCTACCTGCCGCCTTCAGGGCCCGGATGTACTTGGACCAGAAGGAACAGTCAGCTTGTTTCAGGCCCCGTCCAGTGGGAAGCAGAGCAGTGAACTCCTTGTAGCTCTCCCCGCCGGCTTGGGGGATGAAGTCAGGCCAGGGGGCTGCAAACTCGGGCGCTTTCTGTGAGAACTCATGTGGGTAGTTTGGATTTCTGGGGACATGAGAAGGAAGAAACATCCACGAGAGATACATCTTTAGTCTCGTCACTCCCCTCTCGATTCCCTCCGGCTCTTGGTCTCTGAAGGCCGGATCAGAGATCTTTGAATGCCAGGCAGGAACTCATTGGTGCAACTCCAAGCCGTGGCCTGGACTGGGCATTAACAAGCGTTTAGTGAGCAAGGATCCCTAGCTCACCTCTTGTAGGCCACTTTCCCAAGGGAAAAGGGAGTTTCTGACCCAGCAGTGTGACTCAGGACCCAGCGAAGCTCCTGGGACTTGCTGAATGCTCAGGGGGTCCAGAGTGGCCTTTCTACACTCAGGTCCTCTGACCTGCACACCATGCACAATTTCTGGAACACCCATGACATCGAAGACCTGGGCAGGAGGGTGGTTTCCAGAACCTGCCACCTTGCCACGCACAGGTCAACTTTCCCGTGCAGAGGACTTGACATTCCCTCCGACTGGCCTCTGTCCAGGACCTGCTGGCCACGCCCCCTCCTGGCAAGCCCCTCCACACCTTCCCACCTTCCAGGAAAGGTGTAATTTCTCACCACCCACCCTGGTTTAGAACACACCTCCTCCTCAGCACCCTCTCCTTTGCTCATCTGAATACTCTGCTCACCCGTGAAGACCTGCTCTCTGGGGAAATGTTTTCCAAGAAAAAAAAAAAGTCTTCTTCTACTGAGCTCCCAAAGCAGACTGAACGAAGCTTTATTTTATCTCGTTACAAATCATGCTTGGTCTTACTGTTCTAAGTTGTCAGCAATGTATCACTGAGCCAGGGTGTTACACACTCCTGTTCCTTGGGACTTACCAAGAGACAAGGGCAGTAGATAATACACCAGAAGGAGGAAGAGCAGGGCATCCGGAGACAGCCAGGGAGGAGATGGAGTACAGCGCAGGACTGCACTGCAGGCAGACCCCCGCTCACAGCTCCAGAAAGGACAAGAGTTGTCTGCACCAACACCGGGAGGGGCAAAGTGATCCTCCCAGTGACTTCCCCAGGAGACATCGCCAGTGCCGGAGGGTGTTTTAGGATAGGGGATAGAATGGGCCCTGCTGTCCTCTGGTGGGTAGCGGCCAGAGATACAGTTAAACACGCTGTCACACGGGTGTCGCGGGGGTCTGTGGAACCCTGATTGAGAGCCCTCAGCTGTGATTGTGCACATCAGGAGCTGGAACTGGAAGCTTTATGTAGTTCGGGAGGATTTATGTAGCTCAGGACAGAGGGGGGAGGATTGAGACAGGGAGAAGAAAGTGGTTGAGGATGGAGGTGTCTTTGGGCAGAGCGTAAAATCTGCTGATACAGAATGTGGCCTTGGTGTTCAGATGGCAGAGAGTGGGAAGCACAGTGGTAGAATTGAGGGGTTCAGTGGTCTGCTCACCCAGATCTGATGAAGTTGGAGAAGTACTGCATGACTTTCAGTGATAGGCTTTTCTCCTCCAGAGAGAACTGTCCCTCGTAGGCTGGGTAGAAAGGCAGTCCGAAGGCGTACTGGACGTCTGCCAGCAGTTCCAGACTGAAGAAACAGGGAAAGGGTGGAGGAACATTCAGGGAGTAGTAAACATGAGAGAAATTAAATCGGTCCAAACTCGACATCCCTCCCCACACAGGCCTTTCCCACTGCACACTGTGTGTAGGGTGCCCACTTAGTTCCAGTATAGCTGAGGTCCAGCGTGGCCTTCAGCCCCCTTGGCTCTTGCAGGCAGACTCAGGGCATTTGTTGGCTGAGGCGCATTAGTGCTGGGAACCAAAGGCTCGTCAGTGATTTTCCAAGCAGTTGTCATCTCGATACCACAGGCCACGTGTGCCACTTACAACTCAGTATATTTGATTGCTCTGCCAGTCCCTGGGCCGTCAGCAATGGATGGGTTTTCTGTCCTTCCTCTGCACTGGTCCTTCTCCACCCACAATGTGCCCACAGTTCTTTTTTTTTTTTTGGTCGGTCATGGGGCCTGAACTCTGGGCCTGGGCGCTGTCCCTGCACTCTTCAGCTCAAGGCGAGCACTCTACCACTTGAGCCACAGCGCCACTTCTGGTTTTCTAGTGGTTTATTGGAGATAAGAGTCTCACAGACTTTCCTGCCCAGGCTGGCTTTGAACCGTGATCCTCAGCTCTCAGCCTCTTGAGTAGCTAGGATGACAGGCATGAGCCACCAGAGCCCGGCACGTCCACAGTTCTTGTAAGCCAGCATTTATCCACATTGCTCTCGCCGGTGCCTGGTGCCTGGTAGCTGTTCAATAAACACAAGTTGTAACTGACTGGAGTCTGCTGTAAGAGTAAAGAATTTCCCAAGCTCCACAGAGGTAACCCGGGGAGCCTGGGCATTTGTGGCCATGGAATAAATACTATGAGCCGGAGAGGGTGTTAGGTGGAAGGGCTGGCAGGGATTTTACAGCCCAGGCGGTGCCCTGCCCCGAGTCACTCCATTTTACTCAGGGCAGACGTCTGTCTGAGGCACCACTCTGTGGGTGCAGACTCAAAGGCAGAATGACTGGCATCTTGTTTGCACACAGGAACTGCCACCCTCTGTCAGCAACCACAAGGCACAGGCTCGCCAGTGAGCTCATCAGACACAGCCAACCCGAAAACGGAGATGAGACCGAAACTCGGCACACTGCCCACCATCTTGTCTCAGGCCACTCCAGGGTACGCACCCAACCTCTGCCATCTTCCCAGAGTCAGTGCTTGCTGACAGCAGCCGTGTGGAGGCCTCCTTGGCCCCTCTCCAGCACCCCTGGGGTTCCCTAACCCAGCTCCCAAGCACTCCAGCCACTCTTCACATTTGCCTGTTTGCCTTGGCTCTTTACATCGCCATTTACAGCCCTAGGCGGTTTTTTCTTTCTTAGAGTTTTCAGCTATTTTGTAGCCTATATTTGATTTTGTGGAGTGTGATATGTGATCTGAGTAGTATAGAAATTAGTAATTAGGACCGGAGGGGAGTAAGGAAATTTCAACTTCCACGTTCACAGTGTCAAATGAAACCGGGAATATTTGGTGACATGAACCCCAGAAAACTATGCAGCGTGCCTATCTATAGATACTTGGTAAATTCTGACCTATGGAAAGCCACAAGCGTCCATTTATGTTAATAGCATATCTCCCTCACGACAGTGAGAAAGGATTTGGCTTTGCCCATAGAGAAGTCGGGCCTGGACCTTGCCTTCTACCTCTAGAATCAGTCACTGTTAGGGAAAAGGGTTTCAAGAGTAGATCTTAGGGGTGATGTGGTCATTCCTATCAGTCTCTGGGTATGGGCTGGACAGATGAGAAACACCAGGCATGTGACTTAGGGTGGGAGCTTGGGATCAGATTATCTGGCTCAACCTGTAAACTGAGGTTTATCCCATAGGTAATCAACTTATTGTGCCTACGTGATGAATAAAGCCCTAATTAAAACAAGTGGGTAGCCGGGCTCTGGTGGCTCACACCTGTCATCCTAGCTACTCAGGAGGCTGAGATCTGAGGATCACGGTTCAAAGCCAGCCCGGGCAGGAAAGTCTGTGAGACTCTTATCTCCAATAAACTAGTAGAAAACCAGAAATGATACTGTGGCTCAAGTGGTAGAGCACTTGCCTTGAGCTGAAGAGCGCAGGGACAGCACCAGGCCCAGAGATTCAAGCCCCATGACTGACAGCCACATGATTTTTTGTTGCTTTATATGTCCCTCCCCCACGGTATAACCCCTGTTTTCACTGTATTTGATGTTGGTATAATTTGGGGAGCAGAAGGGAAAAAATAAATTATTTAAATAAGGATACAGGTTAACCTATTGCAACCATGAGATGTACAAGGTGCTATGTTGAAAAATGAACTTTACAATTTAGGCGGGAAGGGGATGAGGGGGGTACCGTAGTTTAGGAGATGGGAGGGAAGGGATGGTCGGGGAAAAACAAAGGAGGAGGCAACAATGCTTGATAAGAAATGTACTCATTACCTTGCTCATGTGATTGTAGCCCCTCTGTATGGTTTTTTCCCAATAAAAAAAAAAACATAAGAAAAACACGTGGGTTAGCAGCTCTGGTTGGCAACCCTTGTCTGTCCTTCACATATGCTGTGCAGAGAGAAACCCATTTTCGCCCCATGAGGAGAGTACAGGATAGGAAGCTCCAGGCTCAGCCCTGCACGGCTTCTCTCCCTCTGGCTGAGCTAGCCTGCACCCTCGTGGAAGAAGTCACTACACAATGGAGTGCGGCGGTCTTCAGGGAGGGCTGTGGGTCCTCTCAGTGAATGACCCCACCCGAAGGTAACTTGGGGTTCCCCTAAATTTGGAGGTGCTGTGAGAAGTAAGAATTGTCTCGTGTGGAGACGGTGCCCTCTTTTTTGTTGGCCTCCGCTCCCTGCAGTCATTTCTAATTTTTACAGATGAGGGAAATGAAATCCAGCCAGGTTTGCTGGCTTGCTTAGAGACACACGCGTACACACACAGTCGATGGAGCAGCCGAACCAGATCAGCCTTCAGGCACCATCTGAATGAAAGGCCCTGGGACTCACACGTCCCCGTCATAGCTTCTTCCCCTTCTTGCTGGCTAGCCTCTGGTAAGTTTTTGGACACCCAAACTCCCAACATCCAAAAGCAGATGGTGTAAGTAGTAGAGAATTTAAAGGCAGGTGGCTCAGTGGTTTTTTTGCCCACCATCCTCATGTATCCCATTTCCAGGGCAGAAGAACCCAGGACTGGTGTGCTGGGGCCAGGCTCTTAATAAAGGCAATTTGCATGGCACTAAGTCACAGCAGGTGACACACCCTGAGAGGCTTTGTGGACAGTTGGGCTCTGAATGTAACTTCAAGCGACTCTGTGATCAGCCAAGAGACTGGGAGAAGGGACTTCTCCTCCCAGTCTGGAACTTGGGTCCTGGGAGCCACCATTGTTCCGTCTCCCTCTGTCTCCCTCTCCGTGACCAGGTCCGGTCTCCTGTTTCTTCCCAAGAAATCTGCTTTGCAAGTGATCAGAGTCAGTGGTGGGTCCGAGCCTGCATCTCGGGAACTTCCAGCTGCTCTCCCCCTGTAGGGGAAGTGTGTTGACTGAGCTCAGCCCTGACTGACACAAGGCCTGTTCTCACAGGCCAGTGTCTACAGAAAGCTTCCTCCAGTCCCAAAGGTTAAGGAGGAGGGGGGAGGGTCCTCTTACTAGGCTTCACCTTTCCTTTTCTTGTACTTGTTTTGTTCGTCGTGGGGCTTGAACTTGGCCTGGGTGCTGTCCCTTAGGTCTTTTTGCTCAAGGCTAGTGCTCTACCACTCTGAGCCACAGCGTCACTTCCGGTTTTTGAGTGGTTAATTGGAGATAAGAGTCTCCAATAAGGGACTTTTCTGTCCTGGCTGTCTTCAAACTAGGATCCTCAGATTGCAGCCTCCTGAGTAGATAGGATGACAGGTATGAGCCACTGGTGCCTGGCTTCTGTGTTTTCTTCCTAAAATGTGGGGGATTATTATTTCATGTAGGAATCTAAACTGATGCTTGTGCTGCAATGTAATGCAAGAGTGCAGATTCTTTCTGGGAAGGAATCGGAGGTTCTGTAATTAGATGCTTTGTAAATAGCTTGTGTCTTACCACAGGCTTTGCTGTGCAGTTCTTTAAAAAAAAGATTCTTGCAAGTTCCTTCCTTTTACATGGGCCCCCTTCACCCCAAACTTGCTTGTAGTAGTTCTCGAATTCTCCAGAGCCTAGCAGAGTTATATGGGATGGTGTTTAGCAGAATATCCAAAGCTCTCAGCTGACCTCTAGACCAGTGTGCACATCTTATTCCTTGTGAAGTCTTAAAACTGTTGTCTGGCCTGGGGTACGTGTTCTCACCAGCCAAGCTGGGTACCTGCTGAGAGCGGTGACTAAGGCCTAGCTGTGTCTGTCCCTGGGATCTGGCTGTACGATGATACTCATTTAATGTCCACTTTCAGAGTCACAAACTGGAAACTGTGACAAATACCTATGCTTATGATGTTGCAAGAAATTTAACATTCAACTCAGGCCTCTAATCTGGAACCCCAATAATGGGAGGAAGACACTCCAGGGTCCCAGGTTTAAAGTGAGTGTTGTATACGGAGGAAAACAATGCCTTAGACTCTTCTCATCATTTCCTGTTTTCCTAGATTTCCCTGACTCACTGACCATCACATTGGATAACAACATTTTTATTCTATAGTCTCTTAACAACAGTGAAGAATAGATACCCAGTATTTCAGTAAGCTGTGTTTAAGACCACTGTGCATTTCAGGTAAAAATCTTCAATGACTTCCCACCACACTCAGATAAACTACTATCTCGTCACCTTGTAGGATTTATCAACTCCTGGGTAAACCATAAGACCCTCCCCTCCTCACCTCCAACCACTCTCTTTGAATGGACTCCCAGGTTCTGGGTCTTCTTTATTCACAAGCATACTGGGCCTTTTCTATCCCAGGACCTTGGCATCTGATCATCTTTTGGGGATTATTCACTTCCCACTTCTACATCAGGAGCACATCTTCATGTTGACCATAGTACCTGTGCTGATAGTACTTTAGTGTACCTCCTTTTTGGTACCATTCTCTGAGTTCACTGTGTGGACTGATGTGTGTGTTGCCTATCCTGGAGCCCCCTTAAGTCCCCTCCTCAACTAGAGCCCTCAGCCGTGCCGAGAGGCCCATTTTGGAGACTGGCCACAGACTTCAGACCACCTTTGTCCAACGGATGTTGATGAGGATACACACCAAGTGGAGTGCCATTTGAGAAAATGATTTAAAGCAGAAATATTGTTCTTAACCAGAATGAGAAATCTTGTTCTGAGCAGGAGGTAACCAGGCCAGGGGACTCAGTTCAGGTGTCCAGCCAGCACTTCATGCTTCTTTGGTTAGCAAATCCTAGCCAACTTGCTGGGATGGCCACAGAGCAGACAATGTTCTGATCTGGACTGGGCCATGGCCCTGGAATGCACCCAAGAATCTAGAAGACAACTTGGTGGTGCACAGAACAACTCAAATCTCACATTTCCAGCTTTGTTTTGCCCAGTTGGGACAACTGATAAAGGGGGAATTAGCCCTTCCCTAGTCATCTTTTCCCACCAGACCCTTACTACTTTTCTTCAAAGGAAATGGATGCCAGCTACCACAGTGTGACGTGTGCAGATTGCCAGGTATCTAAGTGTACTATCCACCCCTTGAAGTGGGGGAAATCTGGACCCATCTCTAGGGGAGCCACTGAGGTAAGGGAACATGTTCAGAGGCAAACAGCTAATAAATAGAAGAGACAGTATGACACCTTAATTAACTCTCACATCCATAGCCTGGGTAATCAAAGCCTGTAGGTATGAACAGACAGACAGACCCACACATACCTACACACACACACACACACACACACACACACACACACACACTCACATACACACGAGCCTGAGCAAGACTGTGCAGGCCCCATCTCTCTGAACTTCCTCAGCAGCACAGCTGAACAGTGGTTTTTTTCTCTCTCCAGTTACACCGAGGAAGCCTAGAGAAGCTAAGTGATTTGCCCTAAGTTACACAGCCATAACAACCAGGACAGTCGGCCAGGCTCTGGCTGAAGTGGCTGCGATGGAAAGCTGGAGAGAGCAGGAGGCAGGTGCGCATCGGTCCCACTACCACGAACCGCCTCGGAGATGGGGCCACCTTCCCACCATCTGGCTCAGTGCTGAGCTCTGTGTGTAAGAGGAAGGTAGGGACAAGAGACAAACCCAACTTCCACATTCTGTGAGCCCTTGAATCTGGGTCCTCAATGCACCATTCACCCCACGGGGCCCCCACCCCACACTGCCCAGCGACCCTCTCCCACCGCGGTCTGAGCCCAGCATCCTCCAACGCAGCGGGCCTTTTGGGAGCCAGCTGTGCCCATGAGCACTGCAGCGCCATAAGAGAGAGGAACTGGCCACATTCACTCCCAGGCCTCCAGGAAGGTAAGTCTGTGCTCAGAGTGGAGGCAGGAAGAGACAGATGGCTGAAAACGTCTCTCTCTCTCTCTCTCTCTCTCTCTCTCTCACACACACACACACACACACAAACATACACACACACATTTTAAGTGTTAAATTTGAGCCAGAAATAAAATGAGCGACATGATGGCTCCAAGGCAGAGAGAGGGAGGGGAGGAAAAGGAAGGGGCGGGAGAGGCAGGAGAGGTGAAGATAAACTTCACAGAGCTCCTTCTGCGACCGCTCATAGGCTGTAGCTCCGCCCACCCCCGTGACCCCACAGAGCCACCACGGTGGGGACCCAAGCTGTGTGCACAGCACACACCTGCCAGCATCACCTTCTGATGGCCAAGGAGAAGAGGCGGCACACACAGCATGCCAGGCTTGCTGATTGGAACCAGCTTAGTAGCTGGTCTCCCCTCCAGCAAGGACTAGTGCGCAGGCTGTGGGGTAGAGACGGGGCTGGAGATGAGACCCCCACCTCATAATCTGCCTCTGAGGGCTGGGACCCGGTGAGGAGTATGTTCCCAGCTTTGCCTGGCTCCCACGCTACTCTCGAGATGGTTAGATCGGGGACGCAGACACGCAAATGGGAAGAACCGTTTCCCGCCGGCTGAGAGAGGGTGCTGGCCTGGCACCCAGCAGGCCTCCCTGTGCCCCTGCCGGGAGCACTAACAGCCCTGAGGACTCAGGGCACGTGGTGAGGGGTTGCTGCACCGGGTGTCTGTTCCCCATGCAGAGCAGGGCTCGGGTCTGCTGGGCCCTGGGTGGACAGGAGGCGGCTACTCGGCCGCAGAGACGGGCACCCAGCGTGGACTTGAGCGTGATAACAGCTGCTCCTATGGGGATGTTCAGGCCCTGGGCCACTGGAGCTGGCTAGGAAGAGTCTGTTGTCCCAGAGAGGAGCGGGTGCTGCGTGACATGGCCCCTCCAGAGGCAAGCTGGTGTCCCGACCCTCTACCCTGGGACCTCATTTGGAGAGAGGGTCTTGTGTCTCTTGGGGTGTCAGTATAACTGACACTTCTATAGAAAGGGGAGCATGGAGCAGAGACAGACACACAGAGGAGGAGGATGGGAAGAGGCACAGCATGAAGGTGGCCATCGGCAAGCCAAGGGACACTCACTCCCACCGAAGGCCAGGAGACGCCGGACGCCCCCTTCCCAGAGCCTTTGGTGGAGGCGGCCCCACCAGCGCCTCGAATTTAGATTTTTGCTTGCAGATTGGAAGACAGTTTCTGCCGCTCTAAACCTCCTGGTCTGCGCTGCTGCTTTGGTGCAGGCCTCCGAAACCCTGTTCAAATCCCGGCTGGAAATGCCCGAATGCTTTTGCTTGGGTTTGCTTGATCATTCTGTCCTTATGTGCAAGAGGTCTTTCATACATTGTAGCCACTACCAGTTTTGTTTATTTTTACTATACTGGGCTTTGGACGCCAGACTTCACACTTGCTTAGCTTGTTTGCTTAACTGGGGCTTTACCCCCTTGAGTCAAGCCTCCAGCCCAGTGTTTTGCTGGTTAAATGGATATCGAATCTCTAGAACTTTTCTGCTTGGGCTGGCCTCAAACTATCCTCCTCTGGATCTCAGGCTCCTTGAGTAACTAGGATGACGGGCAGGAGCCATCCTGGCACCACTGTCATTTTGGAGGAACGAAGGGGTAGGTAGTACCTGAAGAGCTGCCCCACTGCGGAAACTCCACTCTTCCTTACACCCCTGCCCCAGCAGGGAGGAAGGCAGCCACAGACTAGAGAACCAGGCATGGCTGGGCTCCGGGGGGAAGGCATCACCAAGGCCAGACGCCCTGTGTGGCTGCGTGGCCAGGGGTAGCACAGCCCAGTGGGTCCCAGGGCTGTTTCCATCCACATTCATCACCTCCTTCCTCTCTCCCTCCCTCCCTCTCTTCCCTCCTGATGGATGCCCCCTGCCAGGATGGCTTCCTTCCCACAGCCCCAGGCGGCTGTTCCACTCTAGGGGGTTGATGAAGCTGATCATATAAATAGTTCTAAGCACAGGGCCCACACGTGTCAGGGGAGATTTAGTGCCAAGACTCACAGGGGCTCTGGCAGATCACTGCTCTAGGAACAGTCAGCTGCTTGTCCCTGGGGATCCAGATGAAGTCCTTGACACCCTGCTCCCTCCCCCCCCAATGCTGCCCTCTTCCGAATGTCTGTGCTCCCCAAGGCTCAGGGAATCGGCTGGTCTTAGGAGGTAGCGGCACCCTTGTGACCTTGCTCTCTCTGGAAGCTCTGGGAGAATCCATTCCTCACTCTCCTGCTTTCCTTTCCCCAGCGCTGTGACCGCCAGCTCACCTGCTGTGGCCATAGCTTTCAGGCGCGTGGTACAGGAAGACGTTTCCGCGGGTGCTCCTTGCCCAGAGGCTGGCCATGTCGATGATGGGGCAGGTGATGAAGTAGTCCCTGCGGAGAGGACAGAGGCGGGGCCTGGTCACCCACGGCGCCACGGGCAGCTGTGCCAGCTAGGCTTTTCTCCAGGCAAGCAAGGCCCACCGAGCTCTCTCGTCCCCCCGCCCGGTCTCAGCTCTTCCTGGTGGCTTTGTGCCCACAAAGATGGAGCAAGGCACGTTGTCTGCTCTGCCTTATGCACACCAGAGGCCGACACTGGAGCTCGTGATGCTGTGTCCCGGGGGTCAGGGACCTCCCACTGACCTCCCAGGGCCAGTGGATAGACCTCTGCCCTGGCACCAGTTTTACTTAAAAGATTTGGCATCAGGATGCTCATAAAAATGCACAGTAACTATATTATGTAGCATTCACCCACTGAGTTTTAAGGGAAGACCCGGAAGATACTGCATGCGTAAGATGCCCGTGGACCCATGCTGCACAGCGCGAGGAAATTCTGCCACAGTCTGCTGCTCCGGGTGCTTTTGACAATCTCTGGAGACAAGTGAGGTTTAAAGCAGCACCTGGCACCTGGTGCTGTTGCTAAAAGTCCCACAATGTCCCAAAGAATGGACTCCCAGGAGTCTGATGTTGGAGGAAAGAATGCTGAGAACCCCTGGCTCACACTAGTTACCTTTGTGGTGAATAAACTCAGGACGCCTGCTATACCACAGTCCTGAGCATGCCCGGCACACAGGCTCTGTGCTTAGTGAAGTAGGTGCCTGCTGAGGACCAGGCGGCACCTGCTGGGCCTTGCGACCTTGGGTGTCGATGTCACTGGCACCGTTTGTCAGGGGAGGTGCCCAGCTTCACCTCCACTCTCTCAGGTGAGCAGTAGAGGTGCACCACTGCCCTGCCAAGCTGCGATGGCCCAGGCCAAGGACATGGATGGCGCTCCTCACCGAGGAGGGACGCCACCCCTTTGCTGTCATGAACAAGACAACATCCAGGGAGGCAGGGTGCAGCTAAACAGTCACAGGCAAAGCTCCAAGTGGGGGTCTGGAAGGGCCGATGGCTCTGCAGCTACAAGGACGGGGAGAGAGCAGGCTTGCAGGAGGAGACACACTGGAGGCGGTGGGCGGGATGCTGCTGGGAGACAGGAGGCAGGGAGGCCCACGGGAGGCTGCAGAGAATGAGAACCTGCCTGCAGGGGGCCTCCAGCCTCCCCAGGGAAGCCTCCCTTTGTCTCAGGTCTCAGTTTTTAGCCCAAGGCAGACAGGGCTCTGAGTCCTGAGCTCTTCTACCACCTGGGTTTGGAGCAGCGCTGGCTGGATGGTGGGAGTCTTGGAGTTAGGCCCTGAAATGTCTTCTGGGTCTCATGATCCAGCCTGGGGCTGGGCTTTCAGAAATGGCTGTGGAAGGGCTGGGAAGGTGGCTCAGTGGTAGAGCACTTGCCTTGCATGCATGAGGCCCTGGGTTCCATTCCTCAGCACCACATAAGCAAAAAGAAAAAAAGCCGGAAGTGGCGCTGTGGCTCAAGTGGTAGAGTGCTAGCTTTGGGCTGAAGAGCTGAGGGACAGCGCCCAGGCCCAAAGTTCAGGCCCCACGATCGGACCCCCCCCCAAATAAAAGAAACGGCTGTGGTTTGAAACCAAGCTCACAGCCAGGTGCTGACAGCTCACACCTGTAATCATAGCTACACAGAAGGCTGAGATACGAGGATCACAGTTTGAATCCAGCTCCGGCAGGAAAGCCCTTGAGACTCCTGTCTCCAATAAACTACTAAAAAAAGTGGAGCTGTGGCTCAAGTGGTAGGGCACTAGCCTTGAGCAAAAGAAGCTCAGGGACAGCACCCAGGCCCTGAGTTCAACCCCATGACCAACACACACACACACACACACACACACACACACACACACACACACACACACACACACACTATAAAAACCAAGCTCACCACCTGACTTGGATCCTAGGATCCAAGTTTTCCAAGTTTCCAAGTTTCCCTGATTGGAGCCCTGGGGACCTGGGCAGAGAGGCCATGCAGAGCAGTAGGATCTGCAGCTGATCCTTGCCAAAGACACCTGCAAGGTCACCTGAAATCTGAGCGTGGACATTATCCCCATCCCTGGGAACAGAGAGCAAATGGAAGGAGAGAGGGCTGGGAAGGTGGCTCAGTGGTAGAGTGCTTGCCTAGCATGCATGAAGCCCTGGGTTCCATTCCTCAGTACCACATACACAGAAAAAGCCGGAAGTGGCACTGTGGCTCAAGTGGTAGAGTGCTAGCCTTGAGCAAAAGAAGCTCAGGGACAGTGCCCAGGCCCTGAGTTCAAGTCCCAGTCCCAGGACTGGCAAAAAAAAAAAAAGAAGGAGAGAGAAAAGCAGCCAGAGGACGCTGCCCCCATCTTCTTCGGACAGGGAGACAGGACAGGCCTAACTCTGATGCTGTGAGAGGAAGCACTGGGTACAGCAGGGCCCTGTGACAGAGGACCAGAGGACCAGTAAGGCTGGGTGGGGTCAGTTCAGGTGTCCCAAGGAAGAGGCGCTCCAGTGGTGAAGGCTTGGGGAGGCTGCAGAGGCAGCACCCCGAGAGGGAACACGCACTTTGGGTGCTGAGTGTGACACAGCACAGGACCTGTCCTGGCTTGGTCTCTGCCTGTGAGCAGTCCTGGGTGGGAACTGGCCGCAGTGCACGTGGCTGCAGAGTTACAGACACGTTCATGGCTCTAGGCCTGTGTGTCTCCCTCCCACGTGGCCAGAGGGACAGGCAGGGGAAGGCACCAGGCCTGGTCAGCAGGAGGCCCAGGCAGGTCCTCCTGGAGTTACGTGCTGCCGCCCCTGGCACCTGCAGTGTGCGCTCTGTCCCCTGCTTGCCCAGGGGAAGCCAGGGCTGTGTTCTTGTGTCCCCCATGCCAGGAATGCCCACCCCCAGGGCCGGGCAGGGCAGAGCAAAGGGCTGGTCATCCCCAGCATGTCTGAGACTTGGGCCTGCACAGGACACTCCGACTCTGCCCCACTAACCTGGTGGCATTCTCCAGTGCCCGGGAGAAGGAGGCGTAGTCATCCGTGCTGTGTTCTAGGGAGTAATACCACGTGGCGGCCGCCAGGACGCGGGCATCCGAGTCCTCACCACCCAGCGAGTTCTGCAGCGCCTGGTAAAAGGCTGTCTTGCTGTTTTCCCGGCCTTGGCGTGCCTCAAATTGCTATGGACAACAAGATAAGACAGTCAGACACCCCAGTTATAACCCAAAAGGCCCATGGCAGCATCTCTCACACTTTCACACCTTGTTCTAGAATATTCTTTAGGAAGGAGTAAACCACGGCATTAAACATCTGGGTATTGGAAGCAGAGCGACGCATTTGGATCCTAGCTTTGCCCTCTTCAGTGTGTGACCTTGAGAAACGGCTGGGCCTCCCAGATCTTCTTTTGCCCAGCGTGGCGCTCAGCCTGGTCAGCACTGCCGCCATGCCGCCTGGCCGCGGGTCATGCCCCTGCGTCTCACCTGGCTCTGCCTGGCAGTGCTCAGCCAGTGCACAGCCTTGGGGTGATGTGGGGAGAGCCCTTCACTGCTACCCCGTTGTCCACATGTGGTATCCGTGTCATCCACATGAGCCCTGGTCAGAGCCCGGCCTCTGTGCCCACGTTCCGGGGAGAGGCGAGGACAAGCAAAGACCCTGAGGTGCATCGGAAAAAGCTTCCTGGGATGAAATCAAGGTAAGTGGCAGAGGAAAGGCCAGGGGCACTACTGTAGGAAGGAGAGTCAGAGAAGGTACTCTGATGGGGCCTGCGTGTCCAAGTGGGAACAGTACTCTCTCATGTCCTCTCCCTCCCTCCCTCCCTCCCTGGTTCCCTCTCCCCCTCTCTCCCAGCCTCCCTCTCTTTCCCTCTCTCCCTACTTCCCTCTCTCCTTCCCTCCCTCCCTGCCTCCCTCTCTCCCTCTCTCCTGACCTCCTCCTCTTTCCCTCTCTCCTGACCTCCCTCTCCTTCCCTCCCTCCCTGCCTCTATTTCTCTCCCTCCCTCCATCCTCCCTCTCTCCCCCCACCCCCTTCCTCTCATCCTCCCTCCATTTGTTTCCTTGCTGCTGCCTGGGCTGTGGGGCTGGCCCACAGCCTCTCGTGTCTGCAGTCGAGGGGCACAGGATGGAGGATGTCAGCAGTGCAGCTCTAGGTGTGTGGTCCAGACTCCCAGGCCCCAGACAGCCCCGGCATATGTGTTTACATATATGTTTACATTTCTAGGGTCTGATGTAACCCGCGAGCCTGCTTACCAGCACAGCCGGCAGGGTTGCACGCTCCCCTGGGCATTTCCAGCCCGCAGGATGGGATTAGAACAGAGAGAGCAGGGCATCTGCTTCATCCCTCCTGGGTGAGGAGGCCTTCTCCCCTGGGACAGGCTGACTGAGCCCCAGGGGATGGGGGACGGACAACCCAGAGCACTCACTTCCTTCTGCCTACAACACTACTTCCTGGAAAGAAGTCTGAAGAAAATGTGAACACACACAAAGCCCGGCATGCTGGTACAGCGTGTCTGTAATCCTAGCTACGTAGGGGGTAGAGACAGGAGGATCCTGGTCTGAGGCTGGCCCCAGGTAAAAGCACCAGACCCTATCTGAAAAACAAAGCAAAGCAAAAAGGACTGGAGATGTGACTCGAGTCCTAGAGTGCTTGCCTAGCAAGCATGAGGCCCTGAGTTCAGATCCCAGTACTGACAACACAGTAACACTCAGTCCCAACAGTGGGCACTATTTGTATCAGCAACATGCAAGTATCATTGCCCATGGTGGAAGAAGGTAAGAAGTTTCATGCCTACAGAACACACAAGTGTGCACTCTGTCTCTTATTCTCTCTCTCAGCACACACACACACACACACACACACACACACACACACTCCCTCAAAAACCTAAAATAACACACACAGCTTTCACCCTGCTCTTCTAGCCACAATACAACTGATGACTTTTGCTCTGGTCCCTCTTGGTGTGTTTATGCATGCCTGTGCAAGCTTCATTAGCTCCTAAGATTTCCTGAGTAAGAGTGCTGCATGGTCCTCCATCTTTTCTGGTACTTTGGACCATGTCATCACTGGCTACCTGGCCACTGGTGACCTCTGGCATAGCGCCCCCTAGCCACGACTTCATGAGACGCATCTCCTGAATGTTGCGCCTAAGCGTCCATGCGGACGAGGAGGTCAGGCCCTGTGTCATTGGCTTTTCTCCCCGTGACCCCCTCTGGGAGAAGCTGTGTTGCCCACGGAGGCCACACAGAGGGGCAGCTGCAGCTAGACTCACCCAGGCTTGCTCCAGATCAGACACTTTCCAGACTCAATGAACCCATAGCCTGCATTAGGGCTGAGAATTCAGGACCTCAGCACCCAGAAGGCAGAAAGTCCACCCAAGGTAACTGTCCCTTGCAGGGAGAAGAGACTGAGTCAGCCCTCAGGCTAAGGTTCCATGCCCTCTGCTAGACTTGGTGGTAGGCCGTGGAAGGGAGAGTTTTGCCTCTCTCTGAGCCTTACCTCTTTACACTGGGTAGGATTGTACTGCCCCAGTCCTGACTTTCAAGATGGGCCCTGCTATGTGCTGGCTGTTCACTCTGGCTGAGCAAAGAGGACCCAGGAGGGCTCAGCACAAACCCCCAAGCCCGGAGCCAGCAGCCCACACGTGAATCTCATCTCTGTATGTCACAGCTGCTTGACTTTGGGCAGCTCACTTAACCTCTCTGATCCTCATGGGCAAACTGGAGTTAATTAAAATCTACTTTCCACTGTCGTCTGGAGAATTAGACAGACGTTTTGAAGCACCTAGCTCTAAACTTGGCATAGAGCACTTGATGAAAGAGAGCTAATAAGTTAATAAGAGTTAATAAGTTTTTATTAATCGTGGTTCCATTGGCTTCAATTAGAGACCTGAAGGTTGAACAGGAAGCCCCAAACCACATTAACAAAAGCAGATCCAAAGTGGCTGTGCGTCTACCTACTGGGAGAAAACTCCCTCTCGCTCTCATTTCTACCGCCATTTCCTCTTGGGGAATGACATGATCTTGGATAAGGCTGTGCCGGGTTTTCCTAACCCTGGGCTGCATGCAGGTGGAGGGAAGGAGGACCCTACAGCCAAACCCTGTGGGTTAGGATCCCCGAGGCAGAAAGATCTGGGCTGGGATGCTAGCTCTCCTTTTCTTCACATTATCTGGGTGACCTTGGAAAAGGGACTTAATCTCTCTGTGCCTTTGTCCTTTCTGCAGGGTACAGTCTTTCTAAGCTGCCTTGACATCACACGACGCTGCGCCTGCCAAGTGCCCAGCACTACCTCTGTGGTCCTCATTACTGGCTATTTATCCATTCACCCCAGGTCCATGCCAGAGGGTCAGGAAAGTCCACATCTCAGAGAGAGAGAGAGGGAGACACACAGAGAGAGACAGAGAGAGACAGAGAGAGACAGAGAGAGAGACAGAGAGAGGCAGAGAGAGAGAGGGAGGAGTCTGAGGAGCACTGAGAAGAGGGCCTCTGCTGGGCATGGAAGCCCAGGGTACCGGTTTATCAGCACTTCCCATTGTCAGGGGATGGGGGCCACTAGCTGGCCAGGGCCCCCTCCAGCGGGGAGGCGGGCCCAGACTCCCCAGGCACATTCGCCACGCATGTCTGAATCAGCCCACAGCATGGGCTGCTGATGCTGGTGTAATCAGAGAGCCAGCAGCAGGACTTGGGGATCGTCCACCTTGTCCGCAGGCTGTAATTACAGGCGGGATCCACCCTGGACTGTGGCTTTGCTGCAGGTGGGGCTTTGTAAGGGGCTATGGAAAGTTGGCAAGCCCTTGACCATCCAAGTGATCATCCCAATCTCTACCTCCTGAGTAGGAGGGACTACAGGTGTGAGCTACGGCATCCCACTGAATGTGTGTTTCTTTGAAGTACATTTGTCATGCCCTCAGAAAAAGGCGGGCTTCAAGGAGGCCTGAAGGTCACTGAGACTTCTGTGCCATCCTGAAAGTCTGGTGCTAGGTGGGAACACTGGCCAAATTTGGCGACTGCCTGACCCTCAACGGCAGCGAGGGGCAGTCACTTCATCCTGGACTCCTGTTCTCACTCACCTGGAGAGCCCCCTTCCCCTCGCCCAGGCCCACAGCACCATCCCCTGATGAAACTGTTCTCCCTTCCTCCATCCTGCCCCGTCTACCAAAGCTCCCGGGGCTCCTCCTGCCTGTCCTGTCCATCACCAGTCCTGTCTGCCACCTGCCCACAACCTTCTGGGCAGTGTGGATAGATGATGGATGGATGGGAGGATGGGTAAATGCATGGATGCTAGAATTATCTGGAGCTCTCAGGGAGCTGGGCAACAAGGACCCTCTTGTCTGTTTAATGGGCATACACTCAAGACTGACCTGCACCAATAGGATCTGAGGGTTCAAGATAACCAGTTTCTATGGAGCAGGGCCTGGTCAGGGGAGCACAGTGCTCTACGAAGGCTCCATTCGGGGCTCCCTATTCAGAGTGGGGCTTCAGGGAACAGAGCAACTCCTCCTTTCCCTACACCCGGCTGAAGTGGCCCCAACAGATTTCCTGTGGTCCATACCAGCAAGCACAGCACCCAGACCTCTGCCCCCCACCGCAGCCCACTTCTGCCAGTGTTTGCATTTGAACTCACCTCTCAGCTCTTCTCAGAAAATCCTCTCATTTATTTATTTGCCTTTTGTGAGAGCCGATTTCCCCAGTTTTCTTGCCCGGTTTTCTTGTCTGTATCTACAGCTCTGAGCCCCCTCCCGGATGCCCGGCTCATTCCTCTGGGTGCCACTCCAGCCACAGTCCACGTGCTCTGATTGCGTGCACATCTTCCGCTACGCCCAGGAGCTCCTGACAGTACCACCTCATCGTCCCTGCCCTCAATCAGTGTTCCACTGGAGTGCCAGGATGCCCTTAGTAAAAAGGGTAATCAATATAATACTATGAACACCATTCCAGCTTAGAAACGTCCCTTAGCGGCCTCCTGTATGGAGACTAAAATCACCCCTCTGAAGTCTCCCCATGCCTCCCCCTCCCCCCACTGTTTCATTGCTGTGTGGGACCCTGGTGCAGGGAGCAGGGAGGAGGGGCAGCAGCTCTGGCTGGCCTCAGCCCCAGGATCAGTTCCTCCCCTACCTCTCCTGGGGCTGCCTCCACTCACCACCCAGGTCTCAGGCCAGAGATAACCTCCTCTAACAGGCCTCT